GAGTCCGTAATAGCCATGAACTTTGGGTTGCTACTTCAAAAATGCTGATTAACTTTGGATGAACAAGTCATGTTTTGCCGTTCAATTCTTGGTCCAGAAATAATATGTTGTCATTTGACAACTGGCAAAGATTAATAGTCAGCTGTGGGTACCGCACTGACTCACTCAGGGGTTTAAGCTGAGACCTTGGCCTTGGTACCATGCTATTATAATCTACTGAGCAAAATAGCAATAAAAATAATTTCTGCAAACAGGAAGTAAAAAATTCTGCTGTTTGTGTCTCTAAGTCCGAACCACGGGGCCTCTATAATTCTGTTAGCAGCAGGTGTCTGAGATAGGGCAGGCCTGAGGCAGGGCATCTTCTTGAGCATCAAAGCTGATCATGTCAGTTTTCTGGCTCAACAACTTCTGTCGCTTAATGATTATAAGAGAAATTCTTCAACACAGCATATAAATTACAGCCCAGTCTTGCCACACCCTATTTCTGTTTTTAGTTTTTGCTACAGATCCCTGCCTCCCTTTCTTCACCCTTCAATAAGTGATTTTCTTATATTTTTCAGCTGCCCATATATTTGTTCAGTGTGTTTACCAGGCCTCTATCGTGTGTGAAGCACTCTGATAGGCCTTGGAGAAACAGGGGAAAAAAGCACATTTTCTGCTGCTGAAGAATTTACATTCTTCCCCTTGAGAATACAGAGAAGGAAATGCATGGTTACCACACACTGTAGCGAGAGCTCACTGTGATCAGGGTTTGGACAGCAGTAAGAGAGCCGCGGCGGACAGGGGCCAGGGGGAGAAAAGGGGCATGAGCTTACCGTGAAGACAAAAAGTTCACCGAGGCGGTTATGGGGGAGGTAGCAGGGGTGAGAAGCCAAATCCAGCAGTGGGAAGTCACGGAGATGAGAAGCCACGTTCAGCAGAGTGGCAGATCAGGGCCAAAGGGCGATGCTGGGGAGGCTGGCGCGGTGCGGTGGGAGGAGGCAGGGGCTGAGTCCCACCGGAACCTGGAACCTGGGTGGCTCAGCAGAGTCTGCATTCTCTGCATCTACTTTTTCCTCTTTTGAGAATGCTTTTTCCCTTTCTCTTGCCCAGCTGGAATAATAAGGGCAGTTCCTCTTAAAATTCATTAAACAGGTATTTTTGGAGCCCTACTATGTGCCACAGATTGCTCTAGGTGATTACAACATGGTGTTACAATTCCTGCTGACCTGATGATTTTATTCTGTCAGGAGGGAGGAGGTGGTCAGTAGCAAAGGTAGTAAACTAGTATATTATTTGGCTGAGTAAAAACGCAGCTGTCACAGTGGCAAGTGGAGTGGAAAAAAGCAGGCCAAGGTAAAGAGGTCAGGTTGGCTGGGAAGGGTACGCAGCAGGCTGTCGGACTCAACCGGAAGGTAAGTGACCGAAAACTGGTGGAGTGCGAGCTAGATTGTGAAGGATGCTCTCAGCAGAGGTGACAGCGCTGGGACAGCCTGAAACAAAGTCCTGCAGATGAGGATGGAGAGATCAAGCACAACTGACAGACTGTCTATGGAGTCCAACTCTTGGGAACAAGCCGGGGAACAGTGGCAGGCTTCGGGCCAGTGGGTGTCATGGCTTGAGGAATGCCTTAGGGTGCTTGCACTGGACGCCGTACTGAGAATCACCCTTGAGCTGCAAGGGGAAGAAACCTTGGAGAAACTGTAGAAACAACAGCCACGTCCACCTGGGAGGGGCAGGGGACTCACCAAGGTTTTAAGCATGGGGAGCAGCTGACTCTCTTCGCAGTACGCTGAGTTCTTGTTCAGTTCCAAGCTTGTGATTGCTTTAGTTGTGGATCTGCTCGTAGACTATGACAGCCTTTTTTCCGATTCAGATGTGAAGATGAAAGCCCATAGACTCACAGCTCCTGGACCCAGATGCACTGCAGAAAGTCCTTGCCTTTTGGCAATGGTGTGTGGCCTGCCAATACCTTGAAAATTCAGTTACATCTAAGGTTAAACCAGAGCATGCATTTCTTTCTTTCTTTCTTTTTATTGGTACTGGGGATTGAACTCATGACCGAGTACTTGCAAGGCAGGTGCTTATGCCACTGAGCTAAATCCCCAGCCCCTAAAGTTAAACCCAATGTTGCAGTTTTGACTCAATTTCAAATACGTTTACTCACCAAGACACCCAGGTAAAACATAGGACTATACAGGATACTGCTCAACAAATATTTTAAGTAAAACACGAAACTAGGTCAGACAAAATGACTATTTCTAACATCTGTATTATACAAAGACCAAGAGAGCTTGTGACAATATTTTACTTTATTTAGGTTTGAGCATAGATAGCAATCTTATGGTAAATTGGGATGACTATTTTGACATAGCTCACAGGTTAAAAAATTTATGGTATATATTCTATCTCTATGACATATGAATATTGTGACAAATATTTGTAAAACACTGTGACTAAAGAGATAGAACTTTAAAAATTTCCTCTTTTAAGAATTCTCTTTTTTTGGTGTGCATGGTATTGGACATGAACTAAAAGGGGACACTTAGCAATGTCTCCCACCCCTCATGTGACCGTACCATGGTGGAACCCCCATGATGGCCTTGAATTCATGATTCCTGCACACACCTGGGATGACAGGTGTGTGCCATCTGCCATCTTGTTGGGTTTAAGAATTCCTTTCCTATGATGAACTCCTCTAACTGCGGTATAAAGAGGAAGCGGAAACAGCAAGCCGACTCATGTCTGCTTCCTTTGGGCAGCAGCCCAGGTTCTCTGAGAGTCGGGTCACACTGGTGGTACTCAGGGTGTTGGCATTGTCTCCAGGCAGGTGGCAGGCAGTGGGCGTGGGGTAGCTGGGAGGCAGACAGCCTTAGCACTCGACGGCTCACTGTGTGACCACAGAAGATAATACAAGGCTCAGGAGGTGACTCGATACTGTAAAAAAAAATCCCAAATTGTTCGCTTTGGACAACTACTTCTAAGTTCAGTAATAACTGAGCCGTCTTAACCTTGGAGTCTCAGCCTCACAACGACGTGTGTGTTCTGGTGCCCCGGCCTCTGGAGTTTGATAGCTGGATTGGGGTGGAGATGTCCTTCTTGAGAATGTGGCTCAGACACAGTTGGATAAGGCAGTGTCCTATCCAGCACTTCTGATTATTTTTAGTTACACTTCCATTTATTTTAAGGGAGTGCTTAGTATATGCTAATGACAGGTAAGAGTTTCACAGGCCAAACTATGATACCATGAAACTGCAAGATTTAATCATAGTGTAGTTTCAGAACAGCCTATGACAGGGAAGTGTGTGCAGCAAAATTCAGCAGTTCAGTTAGGTAAGAAATTTAGTTTCTTTTAAAAGTGTTCTTTTGTTTGTTTTCCTCTTCTTAGTCGTGGTTTCCATTCTTCTCCATTATCTTTTTTTTCTTTTTGAGACAAGGTCTCACTATGCAGTGCAGGTTGGCCTTGAGCTCACTTTGTAGCTCAGGCTGGTCTCTTACTTGCAATGATCCTCCTGCCTCTGCCTCCCGAGTGCAGGGATTACAGGCATGAGCCACAGCCACCCATGTCTCCACTATTTTGCTATACATTCATCACTTGGGGGTACTTTCAAAATCCACCCATAGCCAGGGACCTAATCGTGGAAACTGATTCATTTGATGGGTTGGGCCTGGCTGTATTTTTTAAAGGTAATCCTGTGCAGCTAGGGCTGAAAAAACCATGGTCTTAAACTGGGGCAAAATTACTGAGGTTCTGGTTCTAGTTCTGTGCTTTACCAAATGTGTAAGATCTGGGCTGGAGATATAGCTCAGCCACACTGTGCCTGCCTGGCAAGAGCTAGTTCTGAGTTCGATTCCTGGTTCTCTCCACCCTCCCCAGTTTATTTATTTATTTTTTTAATAATATCTGTTGATGTTGGTCTTCAATTTCCCACATGATGATGAGATTGGATTCGAGATTTATAAAAATTCTTTAGTGATCAAACGAAGTTAAATAATTTGGGATTTAGACGATCTCGTCTGTTTTTCTGGATTCCAAAGAGATGAAAGCCGAACATGTGGAGTATGGACTGGTGAAACAGGTGTGTAACAGTGACAAACAGTGATGAAACAGCACCTCTTTCCTTTTCTCTTTCCAACTTTGAGACCCGGGACTGAAAAAAATAAATGTAACATTTAAGCCCAGAAACCCCAAGAAACTTGCAGGGCTGTTTGTGGGCAGCAGCTGTCCTCACCCTGGACCTGGCGAGCGTGCAGCAGGGGACCCAGAGAGGAGGGACGGCGCCACACATGCCTCGGGAAGGTAAATATGATAAAGCCCCAAGGGCGCGCATTACTCACCAGGCCTGGCCTGGTTCCACACGGCGCCGGTGTGGGTGTGCAAGGCAGGTAGGGGCGTGCACACACGCGCGCACACACACGCGCCCCAACCGTGACTCCTCGGGCACTGCACCCCCAGGGCCGGGGAGGGCGCGTTCCCGGCGCGGAGGGCGGCGGCCACCTCCTCCCGGGGGCTGCGTGTCGCCTCGTCGCCGGCGTCCGCCGAGCCCGCGTCCGCCCGTCCGTCCGCTCCCCGCGGCGGAGCCGTCCCGCGCCCCGCCCCCGCCCGGGACCCGCCGCCCCGCGCCCCCTCTCCCGGCGCAGCCGCCCCCGCGTCCGCCGGCCGCCGCGGGAGGTGACGCGGCCGCGAGGGGCAGGGGCGGGGCCGAGCGGCGGCCCCACGCGCGACCCGGGCCGGGCGGCTGAGCGGGCGGCGCGGCCCCGTCATCGCGCTTCCGGGGGGGCCGGGTCCCCGCGGCCGGCGCGGTGGGAGCGAGCGAGCGAGCGAGCGAGCGAGCGCGGGCGCGTGTGAGGGGCGCGGGCGCGACGCGGCGCTGAGGGGCGCGGGCCGCGTGAGGCGCCGCCGCTCCCGGGCCGCCGTCCCCGCCGTCCCCGCCGTCCCCGCCCGGCCCGCGCGCCCCGCAGCCCGCACCCAGCGCGCGCTGCTCGGGCCGGGCCGGCGCGCATGAGTCTCCCCGGGGCGCGCGGCTGCCCCAGATATGTCGGCTCCGGCCGGGCCGCGGGGCCGCCCCGCTCCCGCCGCGCCGCCGCCGCCGCCCGCGATGCCGGACCTCAGCCACCTCACGGAGGAGGAGCGCAAGATCATCCTGGCCGTCATGGACCGGCAGCGGAAGGAGGAGGAGAAGGAGCAGTCGGTGCTCAAGTAAGGGCGGGCCGGGCCGCGGCCGGCGCTCGGGCGGCTGTGGGGCGGCCGGGCGGGGTGGCTCCGGGGACGCGCGGCTCCCGGCGCCCGGTCTTCCCGCCCGCGAGGCCGCGCCGGCGAGGGATCCAATATGGCGCGCACAGGTGCCGGCCGGCGGCGGGCGGCCTGCGGGCGGGAGCCGGGAGCCGGGAGCCCGGAGCCCGGAGCCCGGAGCTGGGAGCCTGGCGCGGCGCGGCCCGGGCTCGGGGGTCCCGGGGGTCTCGGGGCGGGGGACGCCGCCATCTTCCCCGCCCGCCTGCCGCGTCCTCGCTCCGGGGCGTCGGCTCGTCCCGACGAGGCCGCTCCCCAGTGGGACCAGAACCCACGGGACCTCCGGGACCTCCGGGACCCACAGGACCGCGGCCCCGCTCAGGAGGTCCCGCGAGCGCGCGCCCGGCTGTGCAGGGCGGAGGCGGGAAGGCAGCGGCCGGCTGCGGTGGGGACGAGGCGGTGCAACTTCAGCACCCGGAGCTGTCCAGACCCGGACGCGCCCCGCGGGCGGAGCGGACACCGGCGGCTCCCGCAGCCCTCCTCGGGGAGGTTTTCTGGTGCTTTGATTTCTCGGCGACTACGGGAAAGAGATGGTGCGGGGACGTGTGACCTTTTTATGCTTGCCCAACTCAACTTTTTTCTCTTTGCCGGAAACGAGTTTCCACTGAACGATGAACTTGCTCAGCTTTTTGTGCCGGAGGTGGGCCGGTGTTTTTTGCTCCAGAAACACAGTGGAAGTGTAGGGTCGCTCTCCCAGGAGCAAAACACACCGCCTTCTCAGCGAACACTTTAAAAACAGGTTGAATCCAGCATCCTCCCTCCCACTTGTAAACATGTGTTTTTCTGCGTTTATACATATTTTTCATACTTTAATGAAAATTATATAACTTACGATAACAAACTTACTGTGTATAGCCATATATCCTAGAAAAGGTGCAACTTTTCACAAAATACTAAGGTAACAAGGGTATTCCTGACATATGAACTGAATTACACCTAAAAAACAAATTTATTTATGGGTTTGAATACTTACTGGGAATGTGATTATTAGTAGGTTTGGTGTATGAAAGCAATGAAGTGATTTAGGGAGTTCATTTTAACTAACAGAATTCTAAGAAAATATTTTAGGAAGCTGTACCTACTGCTAACTTTATAATGGATACTAACCATGCCAAGCTTTTGATGATTTAGTTTTATATTTAAATATATGAATTTATATTTTATATTATAAGTGCTAAATAAAATCCAGTGTTGTCAAGATGATGCTCAAAATATACTTGTTTCTTTGACCCACATATATGAACGTAAAATGTTTTTATTTCTTGGACGTAGGCTAAATCATAGTATTATTTGAATACACAGAAATTTAAGTGAACTTTTGAGCAGTGAATTAAGAATTACTCAACATAAATAGAAAAATGTTTAAAGGATTTTTCAGGTAGTTACATGTATATATGTTTGTAAATGTGTATATGTATGTAAATCTATGCAAATACATGTTGCATTTTTATTTGCATAACTTAGACAAAAATATTTCCTAAACACAGTCATATATGAAATTATGTAAATAAAAATGCATATTCAGGTTTATCATACATGTTTATTAGCATTTTTACCCAACATGGGCTTAGTAAGGATTTTACCCCATAATGGCCTAAATGTTTTCAAAATTATTTTTATGTTCATTTTAAGAAGAACTTGCAGGTTAAAGCATAATGTATTTAAAAATTTAGTTTTAGGGGCTGGGGATTTAGCTCAGCGGCATAAGCGCCTGCCTTGCAAGCAGGCAGTCGTGAGTTCGATCCCCGGTACCGATAAAAAGGAAAAAGACAAAAAAAAAAAAAAATTTAGTTTTAAGTGTTCTCTAAAATGCTTTTGTAATAAAATAAGATTAAGCAAGGAAAATGAAAGAATAGACTTTATAATCAAATTATCATAGTGAGGGACAAATCATTTAAAATAGTCAGTTTATTAAATATTACCAGTATTTGATATTAAATAATAAGTATGATACATAAAAATAATGCTAATGTTGCTCAAAGATTACTGTTTTCCCTAAAGTTATAGGGCCCACTGATTAGGTCATGATTAAACTAGCCTTTTGTCTCTCTGGGGTGATAATTGCATGCCGGCATCTATTCTGAGAAAAGGTCATGGGTAAATAAAAATAAATTGAAATTCAGTTTCATGTCTGCTACCTGTAACAATTATGTTAAAAAAAAATAAATTTGATGTGTGAAGAAATTAAACAGTTGGATAGAAGTATTTTTGCATAATCTGTGAGTTTCAGTATTCATACTAAGTGTTATGCAAAGTGAGATGTGCATACCCAAGCATATTACAAGATGATATATTGAATACAGGAAGAAAATAATAAAACTCATATCTCTGTTTTCATTTTTTGAAAAGGAGATGAAGCTTCTTTAACCTTTGTAGGACATCTGCTAAGAGCCTCATGTCTGAGATACTTTTTATAGGAAGTGATTGATAAAGACAGATTGAGATCACTATAGTAAACTCTCTTTGGGATCTTGGATAACTAAAAATGATTAATACTTAACCATCAATAATTTCTTCAAAGCTCTGCTGAGCATCCACATCCTCAGGAAGCCAGTCTTCATCAGATATTATCATTTTACATGTGAATGAGATATTCTAATTTTCAAAGTGTTTTTGCATTTCAGTAAATCCTCCTCCTTTTCTTCTCACTTGAATTCCTGGAGCAGTTTTAGTTTGGGTAATTCAGTCTGTCTGTAAGAATAAAAATGTTGTTTTGCTGAGTAGTGCTTTTAGGCTTTATCTTTCAAAACTAAAATTCCTGAGGGCACAAGTCCTGTCTTTTCACTGCCCTTACTTCCTGGACCTGGTGCCTAGGAAATAATGTCAAGTTGTGGAACTGTAAATGAGATAGTGTCATCAATTATGTGGAAAAATGATGAATCAATTTTTGAAAGAAAAATGTAATTTATTAAAAGTTATATTTTGATTGGTTGGTGTGGTATTCTGAACAAATACATGACAAAAGCAAACTCACTAAAATCAATGGCAAAGTATGCACTTAGTAAATAATTATTGAATTTTTGCCATACACATGTCATAATTTTTCAGATATACTCTTTTTATAATGCAAATTAGAGATTTTGTTTCTTGATGTGATATTATGTCTTCATTGTCAGTTTGGGTTTTCTATTTTAGGTTAAAGGGATAATTTGTTTGCCAAATAAAAGAAGAGAAGAATTAAAATTTTCTATGGCTAAAGTATAGTTATCTTGTATTTAATACATCACACATAGATGAGTGGTTCCAAATATTTTAATCACTTTTTTTTTTTTTTTTTGTCTTTTTCCTTTTTATCGGTACCGGGGATCGAACTCACGACTGCCTGCTTGCAAGGCAGGTGCTTATGCCGCTGAGCTAAATCTCCAGCCCCTTTAATCACTTTCAAAATCAGTTTATAAAATTTTTTATTTAGTAGATAATATATGTTATATAAAATTTCTTGTATCTGTTCCTCTCTCCACAGGTGACTTGTTTCCACTGTATTGTATACTTTTCCAGAGATAGTTTATGCATAAGATTAGATATATATATGTATCAAACATTGTATGTGTATGCGAGCATGTATGTGTGTACACATATGAATGTAAGCAAAAACACAAATATGTCCTGTGGTTTGCTTTTTAAGGTATCAGTTCTCATCTGTTATTACATAGCTGCCTCATTCATTTTAATGGTTGTTCGATAGCTCATTTGATGCATGTTGTGTACTTTCTTTACATGTTCTGTACTTTCTTTTTTATTTTATTTTTTTTTAACTTTTTATTGGTACCAGGGATCGAACTCACGACCACCTGCTTGCAAGGCAGGTGCTTATGCCGCTGAGCTAAATCCCCAGCCCCATGTTCTGTATTTTCTTTAAGTAATATTATATTTCTCACATTTAGATTGTTTTTAAGTATTTTGTCATTATTAATATCACTCACTTCCAGATGAAGCCAATTCTGAACTGTGGTTATTAGATTGCTTATCTTCACGTTGTCTCTCAGATACACTCAGTCTTTGTATGATTGCCTCTTTCTGATCCTTCTGCCTTTAGCCTCAAATTTGTATCTTATCTCTTTTTTTTTTTTTTTGTCTTTTTCATTTTTATCGGTACCAGGGATCGAACTCACGACTGCCTGCTTGCAAGGCAGGCGCTTATGCTGCTGAGCTAAATCCCCAGCTCAAATTTGTATTTTTAAAGAGGTCTTAAATAGCTTCTGTCCCTTATTTTTTACTACAACAATATATTTCTCTAATTGTGCTTATTAGACTTTAGTAATTTGTTTATTTGCTTTCTGTGATTTGTTACTTTGCTGAATTATAAACTCACAGAGCAGACACCTTATGTGTCTTGTTCATCATTACATCCTCAACTTCTAATTTAATACAATGGCTTATATATAGCAGTACTAAAAAATTAGTTGGGTAAATGAATGAAACATTGGAAATGATATACTGTGTTCATTTAGGTAGTGCTTACTTTTAAGGTGAAACTTAATGATTTAAAAGAAAAAGGATTGCTTATATAGTAGTGCCATTATTTTTGAAATCAAATTAATTTTTAGACACATGCTTGCTTATTTAACTTGGAAGCAGACTTAAAGCATTTCCAGCTAATCTTTCTTTTGGACTAAGTACTGAATCATTTTGGCTAGAAGTGAGAAGAACATTGATATTCTTTGTTTTTTGGCTTAATGGGGGTTTTAACCCAGGGCCTCATGAATGGTGGGCAAGTACTCTATTACTGAGCTTCTGTCTTAGTTGCTTTTCTCATTGCTAAAACAATATAACTGATAACCACAAGTTAAGGGAGGAAAAGTTTATTTAGCTCACAGTTTATAAAGGTTTCAGTCTGTAGTCAACTGGCTCCAAGGCACAGGGACATCTCAGAGGAGGAACAGTTCATGGCGTGGCAGGGCAGGCAGAAG